CAGCATAGGCCAATCTGAAAGGGTTCTTTTGGGCGACCTCGAGCTTTTGAACCAATGGAAAAAGACAACATGGGCTCCCTGCACTTGTTTCCTCCTGAAACATAATATCAGCGGCACCGTCCCCCAAAATTACCTGCCAAGTCTGCGACCCCCCCCCAGCCAGGTGTTGCCAAATAACAATTTGCCACCCAGCCTTCTCTGACTTTCTTTTTGGAAGCGCACATGCCAGTTACGGGCTCTGTTTGCAATGATTTTGTGGAAACAACAAACACACAGCAAATCTTTCTTTGCTCTTCTGGGCCTTTGGTCCTCAAACACCAGACGCTCCCATGACACCCGGGTGGCCAACGCCTCAAGGTCCGGCAGCGGCGGCAGGCGCCCGAGGGCACGGAAGATGCCCAGCAGCGTGGCGCGGTGTCGGCTCTGGAACCTTAGGATCCTTTTGAACACCAAAACTAAAAATGGATGAGAATCCCCACTTCGGATTAAACACTTAACATAAGATTGAAATCATAGCCTTGTATTAAAAAAAATACTTTGCTCATCATGACAGTCAAGGGCAAAGATGTATGGCCTGGAACGTTGACCCAGCCGATGTTTGTCGCTTTGCTTCTCCCTCAGCAGGGGTTGTCTTAAACAGTGACATCTCCTGAGAAAGCTAAGGTTTCCTGTTGAGGGTACTCTGTTCAGGGTGGAAAGGAACACCGTTAAGCAGAAGTCTTTGTTGCTTCTTAAAGGTCCCAAAAGAGCCTCAAGACCCGCACCCACATCAGTGACAAAAGGAAACCAATAAATTTTCAGGGTCCATCAAAGTGTAGTTTGTATTTTGAAGGCGCCCACCCTCTGTTCAAAAAGGAAGCAGGCAACTTCCTTCTGGCCAAGTGGAACCTGAAAGCTTTTGACGCAGGAACCAAGAATCAAGCAAACCAACCCTGGCAGCCAAAACGACGTGGGTACGTTCTGTTTGCTTCCTAAAACCACCCCAAAAAGGCGACCCTCAAAACACACAAAGGACGACTTCTGCCCGGAGGCCCTGGGAACATGTCCAACACGTAGGCACTGCCCTGCTGGATCCGGAGCCGAATGCACGCCTTCTGGCGCCGCAAGCAGAAACCATCGTACATCGCCAGCCTGTCGCGAGAAATGCGAGGCATCAGCTACATGGGCGTGTCTTCTTTGGGGGACCCCGCCAGAACTGTGGCTTTTCTCTTCTGGTTTTGCGTTAAAGCCCCTCGAAAACCAGGAACCCTCAGACAAACCTACTTGGGAATTTGGTAAGTATCCCCCATTTCGGATGGTATGGAGAGAATCCATTTGAGCAAACCCGAAGCTGGACTTAAACCTAGGGCTTTTCAACCACCGCTGGGTACTTTGAACATCAACAACATGAAACATGTTTGCAGGAGAGTCCAGCGTAGATCCGGACAATAGGCCCTGCCTCCTTTTCGGCTCTGCCCATGAGCCCATGTAAGATTCAAAGACGGTCATTTGGCATCTGAAGCGTCCTGCATGGTGTTAGCACGCAATGTTGGACTCTGCCTCTTTATAATTCTGCCCCTCTCTCTCTCTCTCTCTTCCCTCTTTTTGTTGCCTCTCTTTCTGGCTATATTGCTTCTGACTCCAGCAGAATCCCAGCAAAGCAGAAATGTGGCACTTCGGGCGCGTATTGACCCCTGACTTATCCTTGAGTTTACCAGTGCTTCAGCACGCAAGCAAACATGGATTTGTTCATCCTACCAAAAATTGTGTATTGTTGAGCATCTTTCATCATGCGGCCTATCCGGAGGAAGGTTTCTTTGACACTAGACAGTATGTGCCTTGCAGAATGAATGCACTGGTAGAAGGAAGCACAAAGCAGCAGCAGCCCATCGGCATTCCGTAAGGCAACCACTTTCGGTGATTTGCCCTAGAGAAAGCTTTGGGACATGGCAACTTACCTCAGAGCCTTAGGATGTGGAAATCCGGAAACTCAAGGAGAACACCCGGAGAGAGGGTCAAACAAGGCTTCAGGACGAGGCGCCCCTTGGGCATGTGCGTCCTGTTTTGGGGTGGGTTTCAAGGTGAACCGAAAGGAAACCAACCAGTTGTGAGGTTCGCAAGTTTGAGACTGACAAACCCGATAAGGAGCTAGCCTCTGCACGTCGAGGTTGGCATACCGCTCCAGGTCACGATAGATCTGATCCTGGGCTCTTTCAACCCCAACTGGCGCTGGACTTTGGCGAGATTTCACAACTCCCGTTGGTGGAGCGTATCCAATGTCATTGTGTTTCAGTAGATGACCACGGGTTTTTTGACCCTTGCTCGCGTGCATCTCGCCTGCCTTCAACACCAGGCTAGTGATGCTTGGCTCAGGGTTGGTTTGGGGTGGAAGTAGGTTTGGTCTAGGGTTGCTTTAGGGTGGTTTGGGGTTTTAGGGCTGGGTTGGGGTTGGGTTTGGGGTTGGTTTACGGTGGGCTTGGGGTTGTTTTAGGATCGGTTTAGGGTTGGTGTGGAATTGGTTCAGGGCTGCTTTGGGGTCTAGGGCTGGTTTGGCATTGGTTTAGGGCTGGTTTAGGGTCGGCTTCGGGCTGGTTTAAGGTTGTTTTAGAGGGCTGCTTTGGAGTTGGAGTAGGCCTGATTTAGGGTCGGTTTGTGGTTGGTTCAGGGTTGTTTTTAGGGCTGGTTTATGGTGGGTTTAGGGTTGGTTTAGGAGGCTGGGGTTAGGCTTGCATTATGGTTGGCTTAGGCGGTTTAGGGTTGGTTTAGGTTGCTTGCTTGCTTGCTTGCTTGCTTGCTTGCTTGCTTGCTTGCTTGCTTGCTTGCTTGCTTGCTTGCTTGCTTGCTTGCTTGCTTGCTTGCTTGCTTGCTTGCTTGCTTGCTTGCTTGCTTGCTTGCTTGCTTGCTTGCTTGCTTGCTTGCTTGCTTGCTTGCTTGCTTGCTTGCTTGCTTGCTTGCTTGCTTGCTTGCTTGCTTGCTTGCTTGCTTGGGTTTAAGTTTGGTTTAGGCTTGGCTTAGGGTTGGTTTCAAGGGTTGGTTGAATTCTAGCTTGCTTGATTGCCGGCTCGTTCCCCTCTTGATTACTGGCTCGTAGCCCTCTTGCCGGCACGCAGTCGAAACACAGCCCCGCTGAGGTGGAAAACAAACAGCCGCAAAAATGGCTCACCTTTGAACGGGTTGCGAAAGGAAGCCAAGTGCTGCAGGAGGTCCGATCTTGGAAATCGCCACCTGGGTGTGTTGAAAAATAAGGCCCAACAAAAACAACGGATTATCCGGTTCCCTTAAGACACCATCGTGTTGGATGCACCCCGACAAGGACCAAAGGCATCAAAGCAGAGTCCGTCGGGCAGTTGATGTTGGTGGGGTACCCCCTTGCGGGTGAGGGAAAACAAACGGAACACGAACCAAGTTGTTTGTGGTTTCCCATTCTGAGACCAACCCAAAGCAACAAACAATTTGATTGGGGCTTATGGTGGAAGTCCAGCCAAGAAGGGGTGACTGGAACCTGGTGGTGGCAATGGTGGTGGTGGCGGCGATAGTTGAACAACTTGAACATTTGGGTTGGCCAAGTTGGTAACTGGTCAATCACTTCGGTTACAACCCACTTGCAACACGGGTAACTCCATGAATTTGTCATGTACTTACTTCTGTACCGTACAGCCTCCCCTTGGAGACATGATTCGTCATTTGAAAGGTTTTTCCTTGGTCAGACATGGGAATTGCCATTTCTTACAGCCTTGGCTTGGCAAAGGTTTTGTGCGGTTTCAGCTTGGAGTCTGTGGGGCCAAGCGGGTTTACACCCGCCTGGAATCCAAAAAGAGGGTTATGAAAAAACAAGGGAAAAAGTGTTTAAACCTGCTGGAAAAACAAGGCGTCATCCCTCCCTCCGGCTGAAGGGCTGGCCGTGGGACCCCTTGGGCCGAGGTGCATAGACCCCGGAGGTCTCCAGCCGCGCGCAGCTGGGCGCCTCGCGGGCCTTCACCGCCAAGAGCGCTGCGGCCAGAGCCATGCCGCGCCGACACCGGGCCCATCTTCGTATGGTCAGCGCTCAACCCGAGACCCACCAATCGCGCAAGAGAAACAAATCGGCCCCCTAGGTAAAAACAACATCTGGGTTCAAGATGGGCCCTTCAAAAGCTCTGAACCTCATGATTTGTTGTAGTCAGCTCCAAGAAGCACTGCCTGAAACGGGAGCAAGTGTCTGGGGGGCAAGAAAAATAATTCAACCTGAAATAAGAAATTTCGTTGGTGCACGCCCGCTTGTTGGAAGACCATCGCCCTCTTGGCAAGGAAGCCTGTGCTCTTACATGTTTACGAACACCACAACAGCTCGACTCTTCCCTGCTGGCGGCCAGTTTCAGACCTTCACAGCGGGGCCACGGGGCTCACAATTAGTACATTCTCAAGCAGTTATGGACCAAGGAGTCAAGCTCCAGTGAATGTTTGGTGACAGGTTGTGCAAGTGTGGATGCAACAAGAAGGGAATTTTGCCATAGCTCAAGGGCTTGTTTGGATATCATGCTCAGCGTGGTCAGCCAGGCTTTGCGGACACCAGGGGCAAAACCAAGGAGTACATTGCTAGTTTAACAAAGGAACACTGCCTGGTGCACTAACTAGAATGTGCTGACATGCCATGATGACTGATGCGGGCGCAAGTACCCATGTGTTCATTTGTGTGTGTGTGTGTGTGTGTGTGTGTGTGTGTGTGTGTGTGTGTGTGTGTGTGTGTGTGTGTGTGTGTGTGTGTGTGTGTGTGTGTGTGTGTGTGTGTGTGTGTGTGTGTGTGTGTGTGTGTGTGTGTGTGTGTGTGTGTGTGTGTTTGCACGCTCGTGATGGTATTATATAATATCTATATATACACACATATATGCAGGAAGGGTAGTTCATGGGGGGGGTGACCACATATATATATATATATATATGTATATATATGTATGTATATTATATAAAATACTCCCCACACGCTCACAGCGTGCGTGTGTCCTCGATTGATGCAGTTGCATTGCACAAATGCTTCCGGGTGCCTGCAAACGCCTGGCCAGGATGCCATCCGTGACAACCTCCACGCGAGTCCTTAGCTGGGAGCGACTCGACTTGGGTCACACAGCTATGCCGCTGAGCAGAAGGTCCATTGGCGAGATTCTTCAGACCACTATCAAATGTTTCAGGGCACAAAGGGGGCCGTTGTAGACAAGGCTCAACCAAACAGAACGGAACATAACATGCATCGCAAGACAATTGCACCCAATTATGTTCACCAGCATTTTGCTTGGTCACAAACCTGTGGTTCTGCTCGTTGCATCTTGGCAGGGTGGTTGATGCACATCGTAAACCTGACATGGGACTCCAACTTTCCTTTTGAAGGACCTCTTTTCATCCAAAATCTTGTGAGGAAAGCACATGTCGTATCCAACTGTCTCCATTGGATGGAAAGGTCAAAGCGCGGCTCCGAACCGGGCGCGGAAACATCAATAAGGGTTCCGGTTCTGCTTTCCCCGTTGCTTTAAGCCCATGGCTTGTTGCTGACCGCGCTCTCAAAGCGGGTGCGGAAGCCTCAGCACCCGAGAAACGTTTCGACACCAAAGTGATAGCACGCCAAGCAAACCCGGCTGCACCAGTAGCAGGAATCTCCAGTGTGCGGAATTTGTGCATGTCTGTTCAACATGCCGCCATGAATGCCAAGGCTTCCTGATGCAGAAATGAATCATAGCAAGATATGTTTAAGCATGTGCCTTACGCATCACGGCACCCGTTGCATTCCCGACAGGCTCCATGAAACCCCAATATGGATACCCGAAAAACACAAGGGAGGGCAAGGAAAAACACAGCATGAGCTGGAGGTTTGGATTGGGATCAGCACCAAACATCTATTGAGAAAAAAGAAAAAGAACAAACAAACTATAGACGGCGGGGTTGATGGCGTTCCCGCCCTCTGCCTGAGATCAGGATCAGGATCCAATAGTGAGTCATCCAAGGGCCGGGCCAATGGTGCCTCCCAC